AGAGAGAGAGAGAGAGAGAGAGAGAGAGAGAAATCCATTAATGAACAAAATTACAATGACAAAATTATAGCAAGTGTAAATTGTCATTCAAGACTTTTAGAAGTTTTGTGTATACTGTATCACCAGTCAAGTTTGGAAACATCCACTCCTTTAATATCAATTTTTTTTACATGTGACATTTCAGAAGATCAGTGAAGTCAATAAAACTATCAAATATCACAAAGTGGAAGGTTATTATTTAGTGATTTAGTGATTATGCCACTCAATCAATGTTGCAAGCTTCATCCTACTTTTTAAACCGTATTCAAGGAACTAAAAATATATATATATATTTTTTTTTACATTTTATATTTTTTAAATATTTTATGATTGATTGAATTTTGATTCATTTATTTTAACTAATTTAATAATATAATGTATTAATGTAATTGTAATTAGTTTATTAACAATTTATTTTAGTTAATTTATTAATATAGTATAATTTAAAATATTTATTTTGTGTTTAAATTATTTAAAATTTAGAAAATTTCACAAATTAATTTCCATCTCATGTTGAGGTTTTTAATATCATGAAAAATATTAATTCAGACATACATGTCTAAACTTATACTGTAGCTTTTACTGTACGTGCAGTGTTGTATGATCGGTTGCAAACTTACTGAGGTGAAGTCCTATTTTGTTCCGAGCATGTGAAAAGATCAAGAAACATTCATTATTAAAACTGAGCTTATGATATGAGACGCATGCATTCAAATTACATTCATGTATTCAGGTGGAGAGGGACACATTATGCAACACAGGACACTTAATGCGAGTATATACTGATGATATCTACCTTTTTATTGGCCAGGGAGGAGTCTTGCTTCAGGAGCTGAGTGAGGTGAGACAGTTTGCCACTTGCTGCAGAGAAGATCCACTCTTTCTCAAGAGGATCAAGCTAGGGACGAAACAAATAAGAAGAGTACTTTACAATAGTGATATTACACTGAAATCAAAATGTTAAATTCAGTATCTCACTTACAATTACACTACTACTAAAACGTCTGGGGTCTGTAAAATGTTTTTGACGGAAGTCTCTCACCAAGGCTGCATTTATTTGATCAATCACAGTAAAACAGTACTTTTGTGAAATATCACAATTTAAAATAACAGTTCTCTATTTTTATATATTGTAAAATGTAAATTATTCCTGTGATGAAAGCTGAATTTTCAGCATCATTACTCCAGTTTTCAGTGTCACATGATCCTTCAGGAATCATTCTAATATTCTGATTTGCTGCTCAAGAAACATTTCTTAATATTATCAATGCTAAAAACAGTTACGCTGCTTAATATTTTTTTGTAGAAACAGTGTTTTTTTTTTTTTCAGGATACTTTAATAAATGTCTTTACTGTTACTTTTTGTAAATTTAATGTGTCCTTGCTGAACAAAAATATATATATTTTTTCTTTTCCTATTGATCCCAAACTTTTGAACAGTAGTGTCTTAGCCGCCAAGTATGACACAAGTTTGTTTCAGAAATTCCACATAATCCCAAACATTTACCATGGCAAATTATTATTATTATTTTTTAAATTTCATCAAATGGTAAGCAAATAATCATTTACCGGATGATTTTACCCTACCAAACTTACAGTACAGTAGAGACACCTGGAGTAACCTGAGCTTAAATGTCTTAATTTAAGGGCACATAATCTTTAACCAAACTGTTTTTACTGTCAAATTATGATACATTAATATGCCATCTCCTTCAAAAAGTCTAGGAATCTTTCTGTGGTTTAATTGCTTTTTTTATGACAGTGGTATATAAACCACAGTTTTATTGTAGCAACAGTAACAAAAAGTATTTTTTCTGTAAATTTGCCATAATAAATGTTTCTTATTATGTGTGTTATGATCAGTTATGTGCTATGTACACTCACAGCCACAGCGGTGGATCCCAAACTGCCTCCATCCTCATCCTGCTCGGATTCACTCTGGGAAAGAAACAGGATATGATATGACTCACAAAACCACCTGTCAGTATCATCTGGAGCTTGGAGGAGTCAGTGTGAAACTGTACAGTTCGTAACACAAATAATGCGACACGCTAAAGTGGGCGTTTGGGTTTGGCAGGTTCCTCTTCCTGTTCTGTAGTTGTGGTATGAGTGGAGGGGAACCCGGAGCTGTGAAGAATGAACGAACTCAAGCAAATAAACAACGCAAACAGTCCACAAAGTCATCAGTACACACACGGACATAAACAGACCCCAGCAAAGACGCAGTCAACACAGCAAATACAGGAAACACCCATAATGCCGCTCTGTTTATCAGTACACAGCCTCACACTGAATACCAGAAACAAAAACACAACAAATCTGCTTGTGGAAATGGGAGAACAGTAAAAACAAAGGATAATTCCTCCAATTTGCTCTCTTGACAGGTCACACAACCATAAAAAACCCACTTAAAACTCGCCAGAGGTGAATTATTGGCTCCAATGAGCACCAAATTGCTCTTAACTACGCCTTTTGTTTTTTTTTATTGTATGCCGTTTTACCAGAAGCCACTAGTTTTGTGAGCCAAAGCGATGGTCAATTTCTCTTAATGTACTGAAGTGTCAGTCAGACTGATTAATGTGAGGGAAAATGGAGCGTTTGGGTGATTTTTTCAGCGCACGTGATGGCTAATTGTTTGCAGGACAGCTGTAGAGTGTCCGAGACAGTGGGAAAACACTTGCACTCTTTCATATAGGCTACACTAACAAGGTCTCTTTTCCTAAAACTGCGTGCAATATTTGTTTACCTGTGCTTAAATAGGAACCAAGCCAGACATGTTTCCTTTTGAAAGAAGAATGAAAGGCGCGGGGTGAGTGACTGAATAATTGCATGTAAGATGATTATTTTTCCATGTGGAGATCAACCAGACTGGTGACAAATAATCACAGTAGTGAAACCGGAATGCAGTAATGAATACGTCAATGAAAGAGATTCGCTGCATTGTAGAATATTAAAAATATCACATTTTATGCAGATGATTTCAGCTTCAATGCATCATATGAATAATTCCTATGAAGGACTAGTCAGTTTCGTCTCGCTTCTTGGAAAGAGCTTTCAGGCGTGAAGAGCTTTCAAGTGTGAATCTTTTCCACTTAAACAGTTTGCAAGTGGTGCGGTTGAAAGAGGAAGCTTTAATGCAAAACAAAACACTTAATGTTTTAAAGCTCTAAGAGCAAAATATAAGACTCAATATTTACTTATATTACTTGTACTTAAATAAAATAAAATAAAACAAAAATCTTATGTTTTAACATTACGCTATTGGCCTTTAACTAGCCGCATCTCAGGTTAATCTGCATACAAATGTTCGCAGAGCACAGATGATCATTTTCTCTATAATGAGGAGGAGCATGTTGCTGTTTTGCACAAGAACAGAAAGCTTCATTCAAATGTAAATGAATGTGTCTTTCATGCTGTCACCCCTGGCTGAAATAAGGCCTTTCAAAAATCCAGCTATTTACCTGGCGCCACCTTTTGGTTAGTCCTAGTATTACAGATATCATAGAAGATTGTTTAGGAGCTCCTGAATTATTGTGTCAGCTTTTGGGTGAATGATAAGTAGGGACGTACAAATAAGAGCAATGACAATTGACAAATAATTAAAAATAAAAAATATTGAGGAAAAAAATCAGATGCATGTGCATTGATTGATTGCTAAGAAATTGATTGCTTATGCTAATCATGATTTTCAAAAATGTTGCAAACATGTTTTCAAGAAATACCATTTCTTTTAAATAATACCATGAAGTATTCTCAGTGTTTAGCTAAACTTAAATCTGAATACTAAAAAAGGCTTGACACAGTCATGAGGGTCAACAGTGGGCCTCCTTGTCATGTCATTTCCTGTTTATGTGACGTGAAAACAAAATGCCTTCTTGAATGCTGACAAAACTTTAATTTTGCATTAAAAACATTTTTTTACTTTTCACTTTTTTATTTAAAAAACAGCTTCACCTGTTGTTTTTAAATACATAATATAATATTTTTTAGAGTGCAGGCCTTTTTGTGTACTTTGTGATTATATATATACATAGGTCTTGGCATCTAATTAGCTGGATGTAAATGTATTTTATAAAATTACTTTATAATTTGTTTTTTACAATTTATAATTATAATTTTAAATATGAAATAATATTATATGATTGAATATAATATTTATAAAATAATATTGTATAAATATTATGATTGAGATTATGATTATAATATTATATATTATGTCTTTATTATTATTATTTTTCTTTCTGGATGGTAAAGCCTCCTATTTACTTTAAGCCCAGGATAAAACATCAAATTCAGTTTTAATTAAAATATTTTAATAATGTTAAATCACAAAAGGTATATTAAAGCCATTGTCTGTTCGAAATGCATTTTTTGTGTGTGTTTTTTTAAAGTGTGTAAATAATACATACAGAAATGCCTATGACCCTTCTATGTTCTAGTGCTTTTATGACAACTAAGAGAAGCTTGCTCTAAATCATTCAAGTTAGTTCCATTTCAGACAGAGCAACAGAAACATCTTAAAGAGCGTGTGATCAGTTTTAAAAAAACAGGTATTGTTTTTTCAAGCTACTTGGCTCTAACCTTTGACCCTGAATCCTTGTCGAGTTCATCTTCTCGGTCTGAGGCTGAAAGCTCCTCTGGTTTCTCCTCTGCTGCTGGCAGTGAGAGGGTGCTGTCTGCCTGCTAATCACAAGAAAAGCAGAAGTTACACTTCCCTAAGATCACTTCACTGTGCTCAGATCAGCTGATGCTGAAAAAATACCAGCTCAACAGGCCAAACACATCCTCAGTAGACATAAATGGAAGACATTCACTCCTCCTCATACTGAGATCAGGAAAACCAAACTATAGGAAGATGGTGTTTCATTGCTCAGAAATAAATGCAGCTACTTTCATGCTTTCATATAGTAGGCTATGTCTGTTTAACAGTTTTCTAGACACAATTTCAAAGTGACTGAAATAAGCGCTGACAGGAAATTCACACTATTGTGTGTTGAACTGCATGCGCTGATGCGCTCCATGTGTGAGTGAAAACTGCAACTCATTAACCAGTGTTTTTTAGCAGAATCTACTATCAATGTTTATATTAATATAAACTTGAATTACACATTCAATACAAATTTGATTTAAATTTATTTTGTCTGATTTTGTTTAATTTTATTTTTTTTGTAGTAGTAGTTAGTAGTTTTAGTGCTTCAACTTATTTCGGTTAGTTGCCAAATTTCAATTTGAAATTTTCTTTGAACATATATTCATATATATATATATTCATATATATATATATATATATATATATCGACAGAAGAATAAATGATAGAATTTGAATCTACCCGTTTTATATGTGATTTTGCATTTTAAATCACAATTCTAATTTATGTAATTGTAATAAATATATAAAAGTCACTATACC